AAATATATATATATATATATATATATATATATTTAATAGAAACTTAAATTAACTGGAATGCAACAAAATAAAACAAAAATGGATGTTCTTTTCCTCTTGAAAAATAAAATTTTCTACAAAATACTAGATTGAAGTAAATTGTCTTACATCATATAATGTACATAAGAATGATAGAATACAGATGGTCAGAGGAAATAATAATGTTAGCCGTTCCTTACTAGGAGATACAATAGATCAATAATGATCAAAAACATACTGAAATTTCTATCCATATTCTATGCATATTTTTAAGTATGCCTCAAAACTATTTGCAAATTTAGAAAAAAGAATTCATAGACGGGCTTGGTGGCTCAGCCTGCAATCCCATGCTTTGAGAGGCTGAGGTGAGTGAATTGTCTGACCCGCAGGGTCGAGACCCGCCTGGGCAACTTGGCAAGACCTCATCTCTACAATAAATCAAAAAATTAGCTGGGTGTGGTAGCACGCGCCTGTAGTTTCAGCTACTTGGAAGGCTGAGCGGAAGGATCGTCAGAGCCCAGCAGGTCGAGGCTGCGGTGGCTGGGAGTGGTCACTGAACTCCAGTCTGGGCGACAGAGTAAGACTCCAACTCAAAAAAAAAAAAAAAAAAAAAGAATTCATAATGATAGGTTAAAGTATAATACAAATATATTTTCATAAATAATGGGAAAAAAGGAAAAAATAAGCTATGAAATAAACTTTCCATTAAAACAAACCATTTTGAGCATTTCTATTTTATCTCAGTTTTTATCTCTTCTATTTATAACATCTGGCTTTTGGAAACCCACAATTTTATTCTCCTTTTTGGCAATTTATGTTTTAATAGTTAAAATTATAGGTTGACAGGAATAAGCATAAGCACAAGATTAAGGTTTTTATTATGTAAGGGAGAAAGAGATGAACTCCAGCAATAGTTGCTTTCTAATTATTTTTCAAAGCTTTTCATGGTAGCAGCACTGGCACAAATATAGCATTCCAATCTTCCTTTTTTTCCTGATAGCCAGCCAAGTTTGAATTCTCTCTTTAAATTAATCCAAGTGGTATAATCCATGCATCATTTTGATTTTTCCAGTTAAAATGAAATTCTTTGGGGCTTTTTTTTCTGATCAAAATAATTAACCTTCATTTCCCCCGGAAGGTTGTCCTGAGTTGTTTTTCTTCCTGTACTTGGATGAACATTTACCCATTCAGAATCTCTTTTATTAGTGTGAAAGGCGGTAGCCTTAAAATATAGAGTATAATTTATTTGTCTATATAACAGTTTGGGCAGTATGGATCTGCATACATTGAATCTCACAGGTATAGGCCAACAAATCATACCTGAATGCAGTAATTATCAAACTGTAGCATGCATCACATGCACTAAGAGGGTTTGTTAAAACTCAGATCACTGGGCTCTATTTCCAGAATTTCTGATTTAGTAGGTCAGAGGTGGGGTCAGATAATTTCCACTTCTAAGTTCCCAGGTGATGTTGATGCTGCTGGTCCTAGAATCATACTTAAAGAACCACTGCCCTGTGATTCATACTAAAAAGTATTTTCATATTTAGGAGAGGAGGAGAAAGGGAGACACTCCTGTTTGACTCTGACTCTCAGGCAGCCTTTTCCTCTTTGAGCTTGCTTGAAAAGGCTCCTCTGTATCAGCAAGCTCGAATTTATCATTTTATGGATGGAAAGCCTAAAGTAAGTGTGATCTTTTTTTTTTTTTTTTTGAGTTGGAGTCTCACTCTGTCGCCAGACTGGAGTGCATTGGCCGCTCCCGGTCACTGCAGCCTCGACCTGCTGGGCTCCCGCAATCCTTCCACCTCAGCCTTCGGAGTAGCCGGAATTACAGGCATGCGCTACCACGCCTGGCTGATTTTTTGATTTATTGTAGAGATGAGGTCTCGCCAAGTTGCCCAGGTGGGTCTCGAAACCGCAGGCCCAGGCAATCCATTCACCTCAGCCTCCCAAAGCGTGGGATTACAGGCTGAGACACCGAGCCCGGCTAGTAAGAGTGATCTTATAAAAATATGCATTTGATCTTCCTCCCCATTTACTGACATAAAGCTCCTAAAACCCTTAGTATCTTTGGAGTGAGAAGAGTGTTTTTTGTATGCTAATAAGTTGACTGGTGGCTGACAGCTCTTAGGTTGCTTCAGGATGGGGGCTGGTCACAGAAAGAACAAGGCATGATTAGAAGATTGGGACTATCAGCCCAGCCGATCTAGGGGGCGGTTATGGAGAAGAGCTGAAATAATAAAGCTTCTATTTAAAAGAAAAAGAAAAAAAAAACTGGCTTCAGAAAGCTTCTAGACAGTTAAACATGTAGAAGTTTTTGAAATATAACATAACTGAAAAGGGGATGGAATATCTGCACCCCTTCCCACGTAGCTTGTCCTATTTATGTCTTTCATCTAGCTGATCATCTGTATCCTTTCTCATATCCTTTTATAATAAACCAGTAAATGTGAGAGTGTTTCCCTGAGTTCTATGTGCAACTCTAGTAAATTAACTGAATCCAAGGAAGGGGTCATGGGAACTCCAATTTAAAGCCAGTCAGAAGCACAGGTTACAACCTGTGCTCACAACTGGCATCTGAGGTGGGGAGAAATCTTGTAGGACTGAGCCCTCAAACTGTGAGATCTGACACTATCTCTGGGTAGGTAGCATCAAAACTGAATTGAATTAGAGGACACCCAGCTGGAATCTGCTAAAGATTGCTTGCTTAGTGTGTGGAAGGAAAAAAACAACATATCTTGTGTCAGAAATGTTGTATTGAATGGCTATGTGAGAATAGTGAAAGAAAAAACACTTTTTTTCCTTTTGTCTTGGTGAGACAGTGCAATAGGGTAGAAACAGCTTTGAAGCATATGTTGAACATGTGAAATTGTCTATTTTGTAAGTGAAAAATTTTCATATGATTCAACCTAATGGAATACTTGGACTCTGTCTTGGCTTTACCAACTACTAATTTTGTGACCTGGGGAAAATTTCTTCATCTCTATGAACTTTAAATATTACTCTTGGGAGGGAGATGGGATTAACAGTAGCAAATATCTGTCTGGGGACGAGGAAACACCTCTTATCAACAGGGTGCCTGAATGAAACGTAATTGTATACCTAACCCTTAACTGTACCCCACAACATCATAATAAAAAATATTGATAAAAAAATTACTCTTAAATAACAATACCTGCTACATAAGAATGTAAAGACTAAAAAATAAAGTGCAATAATATTTTCTGTAAACTAAGATCCGAATATCACATGTTCTCACTCATATAATGGACCTTGAACATCCAGTGCAATACTATAAGAAAAAGACTGACGGTACTGGGAAACTATGGGGGGGAGGGGGATGGGATTAACAGTAGCAAATATCTGTCGGGGGATGGAGAAACACCTCTTATCAACAGGGTGCCTGAATGAAACGTAATTGTACACCTAACCCTTAACTGTACCCCCCAAAACCATAATAAAAAATACTGATTAATGAAAAAAAAAAGTCAAGTGACTTTAAAAAGACCTTAACTGTACCCCACAAAACCACAATAAAAAAATACTGATTAATGAAAAAAAAAAAAAAAAAAGACAAAAAATTTTTTCTGTAAACTATAAGGTGCTATATAGATGTTGATGTCATTGTTGTTGATTTGACCAGAATCAAACAGTACTAAACTTTTTGCATGTCCCACATTCCCTAATTCTTCTGTTTATGATCGCAGTGTTATAGTTAGGTCTGATGTGTGTATTTTCCCAACTATATGGTAAACAATTGAAGGTTTTTTGATTTACATCATAATAGTAACCTTGGTAACTAGAACACATTGCAGGTACACAGTAGGAGCTGAATAAACAGCCACTGAGTTGAATTATTGGAGTCAGAGTATAAACTTAGACTATAAAGTTACACCATTAGGCATAGTGGCAAGACTGGGAATGGGATATGAAGTTCTCCTTCATATCTATCTACATATCATGTGTGGCTAGCCCCACAGTTTTTTCAACATGAATTCAAACCATTTGGTTGTCTAAAAGATTGATGTCTGATCATAGAAGACCCCATTATTTACCATCTGAGCTGAGCAATCTATTTTTTGTTTCTGATGTCAAACACTACTTTAAACATAATTTTCTTTTTTTTAATACCAGTGTGGGTCACTTTAAAAGAGGTTAAGCAAATGCTTGCAGTGGCATTGATGGGAATTAACTGACATTACCTTTTGGAACATAAAAAGCTCAATAGCTCTTGAATTATGACTCATCAAAGAGAAACTGGTTACACTTTATTTTGTTTGTACTGGTCCACTGAATACTAAAATAGCTAAGAAACTATGTCAAGATTTTTTTGCATTTTCATTCAGGTAGTTCTTATCTATGCAAGCTGATAATGATGCCAAGTTCTTTCTACATTGTATTAATTGAAGTGGTGAACAGTTATTAAGGTAGTGATTTGGCTAAATGACAATCACACCTAGAAATGCAGGGTTGGGAGGGTGGGAGGGAATGGTGGTTAAAAGGAAGACTGTGGCTTCTTTTTACTGATTAAATTTACCAGATCATTACCCAAAGCTCTATTTTACTTTCTGCAGTGTTAATACAGTCCAGATGATAAGAGGACTGCATTCCCATAGCTAACATGGAATCTGCTGAGGTGGAAATCTGGAAGAAAGATAAGAATCTCATCATGTGGAACCCAGTCTGGGTTTCCTGTTTCTCGTAAGCATTAAGTGTCACATTTGGAATGATGTCTATTCTATTTGTAGGAGTAGTTGAGATCAGTCCCAGGCTAGCCATGCTCATCCTTGGGTAGGTTGGCCCATACAGCCAGGCACTGAATCTAGAACAGGCATATTACTCAGCAGCCAGAGTGAATCACTAAATCAGCTGTCAGGGAAAGGTTCACCAGAGGTGGCTTGTCTACTCAGAAAAATATTTCATGCAGAATCTCTGCAAACTGAAATCTTTTTTTTTTTTTTTTGAGTTGGAGTCTCACTCGGTCGCCCAGACTGGAGTGCAGTGGCTGCTCCCGGCCACCACAGCCTCGCCTGCTGGGCTCCGGCGATCCTTCCGCCTCAGCCTTCCAAGTAGCCGGAATTACAGGCATGCACTACCACGCCCGGCTGATTTTTTGATTTATTGTAGAGATGAGGTCTCGCTGCTCAGGCGGGTCTCGAACCCGCAGGCTCAGGCAATCCACTCACCTCAGCCTCCCAATGGCGCGGGATTACAGGCTGAGCCACCGAGCCTGGCTAAACTGAAATCTTTTATTAGGACTACAGTAGTTCTACTTAGAGAGCTTGGAACCTGGATGAAAATGTCTGGCTTAAAAAAGTAGGGGTTACTTGTCACAGCTCATGCCACCAACAAAAGACTCTTCTGGGAAAAACAGCTAAAGGAAAAGACATCTGTCCATTCATTTTTTTCCCCTATTTTTTTTTTTTTTTTTTGAGTTGGAGTTTCACTCTGTCACCCAGATTGGAGTGCAGTGGCACACTCCCAGCCACCGCAGCCTCGACTGGCTGGGCTCCAGCGATCCTTCCACCTCAGCCTTCCAAGTAGCCGGAACTATAGGTGTACGCTACCATGCCCAGCTACTTTTTGATTTATTGTAGAGACGCGGTCTCATCACGTTGCCTGGGTGGGTCTTGAACTTGCAGGTTCAGGCAATCCACTCGCCTTGGCCTCCCAAGTGCTGGGATTACAGACTGAGCCACAGAGCCCGGCCTCCCCCTATTTTTAGTACCTCAGTATCTATGTGGGACACAGACTTCAGGGTCTGAGATATGGTGTCCTGAAGTCAGTTCTAAACAAAATAGCATCTGGAGAGCCTTTTTACCCTTTCAACTGCAGTTTTTACCCTTTCAACTGAAGTTGTCAAGAAAGTACTTTGGTTTAGGCAAAGGCTGCGTTAAGAACAGAAATAAAGAGCAGGGGCGGTGAGAGGGCTAAATGCAAGAATTTTGAGGTGTAGATGTAAATCAGCACCATTTAAAACAACCATGAGGCCCTGTTCCAGCCACGCAGTTACATTAACTGCATTTACATCTCCCAGTCTCAGAAATGACATTTCCAAAGACTTGACATTCTAAATGTCATGAGAATCAAATGCAAGCCAAAATTTCCCCCAGCTTGTGAAGATCATTACATGACACCCAGTAAATTCAGACAAATGAAAAAACTTTCTCAATACTACTAATAAAAGTACCTATGAAGTAATCACTTGAAGAATTACAGCTAGACTACATTGAATTGGAAAATAAACACACCTGGGTTAGAAATGAAGTCACAGTCTGGGTTACATTGGTATATGTAGTAAAAAGCATTTTGAAGAGTGCATGCCCTCACATTTTCCCTTCACTTAAATTCTTGTACTGGAATAAACAACTCTCCTTGCTAGGTCTATATTCTATCTGACCACAAATATACCAAGAAAATGTCAATAGGACAACTCTGGTCAATTTTGTTTATGGAACAAAATGCATTTATACAAGAGCTATATTTACTATTCTGCATTTTATCCACAAATGGTTGTCGATGGTGATGATGACATGTTTTCCTATTCCAAAGCAATAGCTCACAATCTAACATTACATTGTGAGTTTCAAAAGTAATTTTAGTAACATTTAAATTTAATATATAAATTGCATTCTTCTAAAAAATGACAGCAAAAGAACTGATGGGTGCTATGGCTATGACAATACTGTTTACCTCTATTACCTGCCTGCCGAAAATAATATTCTTTGAGTCACATTTCCAAATGTGACATGGTCACATATATTGGCAATGCAGACTACAAAAAATATATATAAGCTTTCACTGAGTTGACTTATTTTAAGTAAAAATATGTTCTAACCTGACCAAGTTCTTCATTAAGGTCTGATGTGTTAACCAAAGCTCCTTCATTAATTTCTTCATCATAAAAGTCCTTATCCCATGAGATGAAAAAGGAGCCCAAGAATTTCTGCATTTCTACTGTGACATACATGGAGACAGGAATGATAAAGTTGAAGAGAACCATAAATGATAGGAAGTCGGTGAACATTTTCAAAACCTAAAATAAAAGAGACAGTTCATGCTAATTAGATGCACAGTTCCATCAGATGTACAGTTCCATCTTTTTTATTTCAATGCTGAAAGCACTCTTCTTGCTATAAAGAAGAAACTTCCTAACACTGTATCACTGAAGTCAAAATTGTCAGAATATATGAGAAAAACATTTAAGATCACTCTCAATTCTATCATTATTCTTCAGTGTATGTACTTTCTGTCTTAATACTTTTTTACCTCCTTAAGTTATCTGCCCCCTCCACCTCTAGAAATGAATTTGATGTCAAAGTTTCTATGTAGGCATCCATTATGCTCTTATCATGACATCTCACAAGCTCATTATATTAAAATACCAAAGCTTCTTGCCAAATTGCTTCAAACTCTTAAATAAAGAGCTAAAATCAAGCATAGCTGCCTAAAGTAAGAGAAAAAAACTCTAAAACATCTGAAATATTTAATGGCTTAGGGCTACCATACAATCAAGTTAAAATCCAGAAGCTAAAAAACAGGTATCATTTCTCTGAGCAGAATTTCCATAAAGGGTAGCTTGGTCACAAACCCCAGAGTTCCCATTTTCAGCAGAAAACAAATTACCTTTAAAGTCTCCCGCTCTTTCTGAGTCTTTTGGTTATACCAAGGTTCATCGTTGTATGGGGTACTTTGCCAAACATACTTTAAAGTAGTGCACACTGCAGCTTTGGTCAGTAAAATAAATAAATATACAATCAGGAAGGCATTAATAGATCTGAAAAATAAGACAGTATGGATTTTAAAGCCACCCAATTATTTAAGACATTAACCAGATATGAATTAAACAGTTCAGTTATCTAAAGCTTCTCCTGTGTATGATGTGCAACCACAACACAAGCCTTTATGTATGAACTTCATTTATCACAGTTGCAGCATCACTCTCAAGCTGCAAAACAGAAAAGCTAGCTCTGAACTCTTTATCGATCACAAATGCTCCCTGAAGTGCAATGGCTGACTAGCTTAACACACCTTTCCCTGTAAAGTGAAACGACAGACACACACACACACACACACACACACACACACACACACACACACACACACACCCATTACCTACTCAACCTTTATAGAAGATATAGCTTGTCTCCATTTCCCTGAATCCTAAATGTCTCGGGTAGAGGTTCAGTAGCAATGTGAAAAATCCTCAAGCTCAGTGTAGGTTCCTTCAGTATGAAAGTAAAGCTATGGAGAAAGTGCCAGTGATATACTGGCTATCCATACTACTGGTAAGGACAGGTCCATGCCTGCGGTGCCTGGTTTGAAGAAGATCTATCGGGTACTGCTTTGATATGTGCCAGGAGACTATTATCTATTTTACAGAACAAACTTGTACATAGCAATTAAAGGACTCAAAACCAATAACTATAATAGAAGAAAGGAATTAATTTATAGTTCAGGTAAACTCTGCCCTTTAATAGCTATGTGAGCTTAGGTAAGTCTCATACCATCTCCAAGACGATTTCCTTATCTGTAAAGTGGAGAGGTTAACACAAATTACTTCACAGAGCAGCTCAGAAGATTAAACCAAATCTGATATACAAACCATTGAGCACAGTTTCTGGAAGATAAGCAAGTGCTTAAAAATTGTAGTTGCTATTGTAATTGATGTTGCTTTTTGTTATGGTTGTTATTTAGAATTAGTGAGGAAGTAAATATTTTAATCAATAACGCCTAAAGAAATTGTGGTGCATACTAACTTTTCGACAGCAGAACGTTTCTGAGATTTCCCTTGATAGTTCAAAGCCATTTTGGTTTCCATTCCAGTGTAAACAGCAACTCCTAGGGAATAACAGAGTATAATGAAAACAAGGTTACAAGTAAACTTGTCAACCAAACAAACTCCTACCCAGTGGGCTCTATAATTTTTAATTCTATAAAAGTTGGAATTCTAAGCTCTCTTCTACTCAATTGACACATCATTTATAGTATAATTTTAATTCTAAATAGTATTTGTCATATTTCATTTTAGTTTACCATCTTATAAATTCCCAACATCTAAATATAGGTTTAGATTAAATGGCTATATATCCCATGCTACTTTTTAACATGTACTATTTATTCATAGACTTTACAAAGCATATTTTAAGTATGTCTTGAAAATTGTTCACCATATATCTTCTTGGTATTTTTTAGCGTAGCTCCTTTCAGCAAGAGATTTTCAGGTCCCAAAGACCTAAATAAAAAACGAACACAGCTTATCCAAACAACCCAATAGCATTATCAAATCTGGGGACAGATTTTGCCCTGACATACATCTACCTCCAAGGGGTTCAGAATGCATCTGTCTACTTATATCATATGCTTACTCCCCAGAACAAGTTGAAAGATCTCTGAAGTTACTTGAGGGTATGGTATAGATGGAAGCACAGTACAGGAGTAGTCAGCAACAAACAGAGGTAAAGAAATGCACGGGGAACAAAAGGATTATGAATCATAGATAGCAAGACAAGAAAAGGACACAGCAGCAGACAGCAAGAAAAAGAAACAAAGACTCATAGATAAAAGACTAGAAAGGCAAACATCAAGGTGGTAAAAACAAACTGACATATTTGTAGACAATAAACCCGCCGGGCTCGGTGGCTCAGCCTGTAATCTCAGCACTTTGGGAGGCTGAGGTGAGTGGATTGCCTGAGCTGCGGGTTCGAGACCCGCCTGGGCAACTTGGCGAGACCTCATCTCTACAATAAATCAAAAATTAGCCAGGCGTGGTAGCACGTGGCTATAGTTCCAGCTACTTGGAAGGCTGAGGTGGAAGGATTACTGGAGCCCAGCAGGTCGAGGCTGCGGTGGCCGGGAGCAGCCACTACACTCCAGTCTGGGTGACAGAGTGAGACTCCAACTAAAACAAAAAACAAAACAAAACAAAAAAACGAGAATAAACCCACTTTGGGAGGATCACTGGGGATCCTGCGTTCCTTTAACTTATTTTTGATTGTGGCTGTAAAGGCCAAGTGGAAAACTTGAAGTAATTAATTCGATGATAGAAGAGAAAAGAAAGCATTTCTTTTTGTAAGAATTGCCTCATTATAAAGGATCAGACTTTCATTTTACTAAAATACAGGTAATTTTTCCATTTCATCCATTGTCTAGTTCCTCAATTACCCTTAAACCGCTGTTCTCCAGGTATATTTCCAATGTTATCAGTCACTGCACAATTAAGGACAATAAATACAGTGGCTAGGACAGGTTTGGGAATATCAGTCAAAGTGTCTGGGGCTCTGCTCTTTTTGAAACCCTAAGTATTCCTTCTAACAACTCCCTCCTCCCAACACACAGAGACCCTACTACCAGAACCCTGCCAGTCACAAGGTTAGTTACTTATTCACCTTTATATCCCTTTCTATAAAGAATGGTATTTGGCTATTTCAGTGGCTTAAAAGAAATATACACCCCTCCAAAGGACAGATTAAAATAACAAACTTACCTGGCAACAGCCTCTAGACTATTACTATAAATATTGATTCGCCCAACAAATCTGTAAAAAAGACATAATTACAAATGCATTGTCTACATCCAGGGGAAATCTATATGCCACAAATATAAGAATGAATAGAAATACAAATAATGCAAAAGAGACAGACAAAACTCTGAATGAACTACAAAAGCCTATTGTACTTCTGGGGGGAAAGTTATACTGAACAGTTAAGTTATATAACATTTTCATCTAATTTTAAAAATAGTCTTATGGATTATAAGAATTTAAACAAAGATTCTAAATTGATTTTCAAGCTCTATTTGGCACTATGCATACACACAACCATCTCTCTCCTTTACACCCTTATGCATAATATGGCTTCTATTTTAGACTCACAAAAAGAAAGGTTTCAATACCATTAGTCCAGTAGTTCTTACACTTGAGCTTGCATCAGAATCACTGGAGGGCTTATTAAACCACAGATTTCTGAGTCCCATCCCTGAGTTTCTGATTCAGGTTCCCAGGTAATGCTGATGTTGCTGGTCCGGGGACATCTCTTAGAACCATAGCATTAGCTAGGTACAGTGGCTCAGACCTGTAATACCAGCACTTTGGGAGGTGATGGCGAGAGGCTTGCCTAAGCCCATGGGTTCGATTGAGACCATCCTGGGCAACATGGCAAGACCCTGTCTCTATAATAAATAATAAAAAAAATTACCCAGGTGTGGTGGCACGCACCTGTATTTCAAGCTACATGGAAGGCTGAGGCGGAAGGTTCACCTGAGCCCAGCAGGTTGAGGCTGCGGTGGCCATGAGCGTGCCACTGCACTCCAGCCTGGGCAACAGAGTGAGACTTTGACTCAAAAAAAAAAAAAAAAAGAACCATAGCACTTGTCTTAGACAGTGAACACACAATTATCGTCTTGAAAATACGATAGTCTGGCTGAGAGTGGTAGCTCATCCCTGTAATCCTCCACTTTGAAAGGTGGAGGCAGAAGGACTGCTTCAGCCCAGGAGTTCCAGACCAGCTTGGGCAACATAGCAATACTTCATCGTTACTTAAAAAAAACCCCACAAAAATTAGCCAGGCATGATGACAAGCACCTGTAGTCCCAGCTACATGAAGGCTGAGACAGAAGGATCGCCTGAACCCAGGAGGTTGAGGCTACAGCGAGCCATGATCATACCACCACACTGTAGACTGGTCAATAAAGTGAGATCCCCAATTCAGAAACAAAAAAATGCCCAGCCTGTGTCTTGCAGATGATCCCAATGTTGAGTTTAACCCAATTACTTAATATTGCTAGGCACAAGGTAACCTGTATTTCTGCAAAATGAAGTAAAAAGATCTAGCTTCTCCTTTATAAGAGTGTTATGAGTATTTTCTAATTAGTAAATTACATTTTCTTAGACAAATAGAAGTTTTATATTACCATATACACAAAACATGCAGGTTTGCTCATTCATTTATCATATTTTGATTGTGCCAGTACCGTACTAGGTGCTGAAGATACATTCATAAGCAAAACAGAAAATAAATGTTCCTTGCTCTAAGAAGGACAGCTACACAGGCAATTATGATGGAAGTGATTTTCACTAGGGCGGTGGAAATACAAGCCATTCTGAAGTCACATAGCAATAGATTCAGTCTAGTCTAGGAAAATTAAGAATAATCTTTCCCTAACATTCTAGTCTTATTTAGGTAAATGAAAAATGTGTGGGTTTTCTTATAAATATGCAAGGATATAGATATGGTTTTCTGAGTCACTATTTCTTACCCTCTTTTCTGTGATTCTACAGACCTTGCGTTCACCTCTGTATCACACTGTAATGTAAGCTTAGCTTTACTGTTTTACCTCCTATGCTCACTGTGAGCCCTTGAAGGCAAAGAACAGCTGTTATACTTATGGCCCTAGTTCCTAGTATCAAGGTGGATATTAAAGAGGAAGGGAAAAAAATGATGGGAAGGAGGGAGGACATTGTTCTTGAGAAGGATGAAAACTTTGTTTTGCCACTACTAGGTGTTAGCGTAAACCACATCCAACCACTTGGTCTCCCATTGTGACTAACAGCATGCATTAATAAGATGGCCAGCAAGGGTAATGGATGCCCTCTGTAATGGTAGAATAGAATAAAATTAATTAGCCCACAAGGGAATAAAACCTGTTACTCTACCCTCATAAGCACCATGCTCTCATCAACCAAACTAACCAGTTTTGAAATCAAATGCCAAATTCTTCACAACCTACAATGACCGCCAATCAGCAAATCTACTCCAGAGTTCATTAGTAAAATAGAAGCAATTACACCATTTTACTGCTCCCTTAACTGTTTACTATGGACAAGAAATAGCCTATATGCAATTCTTAGTTCATAATGATAATTGTAAGAAAGGGATAGTATGCCTAAAAATTACATGGAGAGGATATTTCTTTTCTCTTTAATGTCAGATGGCATGTTTAAAAGGTTTATATTTGTTTTAATTAACTCTGTTTACTGCATCAGTCAGATAGATCAGCTGTACGGGATAACATAATTTAAAAATTTGATAGACGGCCATGTTTACAAGTAAGAAAAATAAAAGAAAAATCATAAGATGCTTGGGCCCACAATGATTTATCTCAGGCTGGTAGTGAACAAAGCTGATTTGATTCACTTCCCTGCCAGAAGGAAGGAACAGCTCATAAAAACATAAATGAGAGTAGGCTGGTAAGTTGTGGGTGTTGCTTTGCAATACTAGTGGCAAAGAGAAGCAGAGCCAACAGACAGCAGTAAAATGAAACCAGGTGATTCTTACTTGTAGAGGTCAGGTTGAGGCTGTTCACATTCAATTGCTGCTCGAAGGGTATCAATGGATTCGGCTGTACACAGTGCAATGGTATCACGTACTGCATAATGTGTCTAGATGAAAGGAAGCAAGAAAGAAGTGTTTCTTTTCATAATCATACACCCACCTGATTCCAGAAACACAGTATGTTTTAATAGGAGGCTTTGGCAAAATAAACAAATATTGATGTACATTTCACACCAATTCAGTTTTGTGGTATTATTCTTACAATATATTACAAATAATCAGAAAGATAACCTTGCTGCAAGGGGATTTCAAATATAATGAAAAAACTAAAAGCTCTTCTTGACATTGACAGACTCCATTTGCAGTATGCATATAATTAATTTAAACCCTATAAAAATTTAAATACAGATTTCCTATTCACGGAACTGAAACGTATTTTTTTTTAATATTGTGTGGCAATGTAGATATATGCAAATTAATTGAACAAAATCTTTTTGGTGACAACAATGCTAAAATTTTGCCAACAGCAAAAAAAAAAAAAAATCATTAGTAGTTACATTACAAAAATAGCTTAATGAATGATCTTGAAAATTTTCAACATGGTTACATTTTGTATGAGGAGGCAGGAAGAAGATGTGTCTTGTGTCAGTCAGACAGAATATTCTACTAGTGTACACTATGCACTTGATTCATCCAGAATTCAAGGCAGGCTCCAATGAACCCATCTATAAATCATCAAACAAGAGATAATGCAAACTCAAAGAGCACACCACTTATGCACAAGGGAAAGCTGTTGCCATGGTCTTTGGGGAGTATTATGGAATTGCCTGAGCTATATTTAAAACTGTCTCCTGGAAAACACAAATAACAAAACAAAACAAAAAAACCTGTCTCCTGATTTTTAAAACCTCTGTATTTTTGGCTGATTAGATCAGATCAACTTAATTGAAAAAAACTACCTGAATGTTTTCTTCCTTGAAACAACTTTTTCACTATTAGAAAATCTTTAGATTTCTCGATTTTTATCTTGACATTGCCTAAAACATAACTCTGTTTTTGAACAGTTTGTTTTTATTTATTTAGTTTTTGAGTCAGAGTCTCACTCTGTCACCCAGGCTAGAATGCAGTTGTACACTCATGGCTATGGGTAGCCTTGACCTGCTGGACTCAGGTAGTCCTTCTACCTTAGCCTTCCAAGTTGCTGGAACTACAGGCATGTACCACCACATCTGGCTAATTTTTTTTTATTTATTGTAGACACGAGGTCTTGCTAAGTTGCCCAGACTGTCTTGAAACCCTATGCTAAGATAATCCTCTCACCTTGGCCTCCAAAAAGTACAAGGATTAGAGGTGTGAGTCACCATGCCCAGCCCAGTTTTTGAACAGTTTAAATGTTACTAGGTCATTACCATGCTTTTGAAATACAGAATTAGTCATTTAATAAGTGAAATTTATTTTTCTCATACTGAGTTCTGGTCCTCAACTCCAGATGCAGTAAACAAGCAGAAGAGCCCTCCAATGATATACCCAGAGTTAAGCTACATTAGTATCCCTCCTTAAAGGCAGCATACATAGAATACATCTTCATGCTCTGTGGAGCTCTGGACAATGACCAAGAACTAAAACGTATCACTAAAAGTGATCCCCCATTTTGATCAAATTCACTTTAACTCACTTATAATTCTTCTTAGTTGTAATAAAGCAATCATTTGCTAAGCTACACCCTAAGTTATTTTTAAAAACAATCAAGTTACTCCATATTAGATTTCTTCTCTCTCAAGAATTAACTTTTTAAAGAAAATATACATTACTTTTAGAATCAAAATAGATCAAACTAAGATTAGCATACATGAACTTATTTTTATAATTACATAGTTTAAGCCTATGATTATTTTCATTTTAAAAAGTAGAAATAAAATAGTAAATGGATTGTATCAATATTAAATTCAAGCAGTGCTATAAAAATTGTAGTGGCTTTCATTTAGGGTGTGATTTTCTTTCTTTTTTTTGAGTTGGAGTCTCACTCTATCACAGACTGGAGTGCAGTGGCCATTCCCGGCCACCGCAGCCTCGACCTGCTGGGCTCTGACGATCCTTCCACCTCAGTCTTCCAAGTAGCTGGAACTAAAGGCATGCGGTACCACACCCAGCTAATTTTTTGATTTATTGTAGAGATGAGGTCTCGCCAAGTTGCCCAGGTGGGTCTCGAACCCGTGGGCTCTGGCAATCCACTCACCTCGGCCTCCCAAAGCGCGGGTTTACAGGCTGAGCCACCGAGCCTGGCCTGGTGTGTGATTTTCTACACCCACCACTGTTTTTCCCCAAAGATGAGAATTTTCTTAGAAGTTAAAAGACAATTGTGTAAGCTGTCTTCAAACACAAAACCTAGATGAACAGGAAAAAATAGCCAGGCATGGTGGCTCAAGCCTGTAATCCCAGTCCTTTGGGAGGCCAAAGCAAGAGTACTGCCTGAGCTCAGGGGTGCGAGACCAGCCTGGGCAACTTGGTGAGACATCGTCTTACAATAAATAAAAAAAATAAGACAGGCAAGGTAGAGCGCGCCTGTAGTTCTAGCTACTTGGAAGGCTGAGGCGGAAGGATCACCTGAGCCCAGCAGGTCGAGGCTGCGGTAGCCGTGAGTGTGCCAATGCACTCCAGCATGGGCAACACAGCAAGATTCCAACTCAAAAAAAAAAAAAAAAAAAGATTAGGGGGTGGTGGGAAACACTGTATGATAAATTATCCTGACATCAAAATGTTTAGGCAAGGTTAGCCCCTGTTACCTTGCAATTGGATTCCCCATCAAGACTGGCTGTAGTGACATAACACATTCCGTCATTGGTGCAGGATGATAGAAGAATAAGATCACAGGGAAAGGTTTCATCTGCCTGTACTTCTACTACATCACCAACCTAGAATGAAGAGAAAAATAAATATAAATAGATATTTTAAATTCCAAACAAAGTATTCATTTTACCTCACACTAAAGCCAAAACATTAGGAAGAGATATCTCTAACTCTGGGGCTCTGAGAGTATCTCAGCATTTTACACCAAGTGAAAGGTGATTACACAACATCAGAATCCTCTTTAAGGTCACAAGGATGCTTTCATATTACCTTAGTGCTGACTTTTACCTTTAATAAATTATTCCAACACTTGCTTGCTTTCTGATAATTCTGGCACAAATGTTTGATAAGACAATGACCATTATCATTTCATGAATGAATCAAGACAATGTAGGCAGGGTATAGTGGCTAACACCTATAATCCCAACATTTTGGGAGGCCAAGGCAAGCAAATTTCTTGAGCCCAGGAGTTCAAGACCAGCCTGGGCAACATAGCAAGACCTCGTCTGTACAAAACAATGAAAAAAAGTAGCCAGGTGTGGTGGTGTGAGCTTGTAGACCTAGCTACTTGGAAGGCTGAGGTGGAATGATTGCCTGTGCCCAGGAGGTTGAGGCTGCTGTGAACCTTGAACATGCCACTGCACTCCAGCCTGGGCAACAGAGGAAGATCCCACCAGAAAAGAAAAGAAAGGAGAAAATGTAAATGTTGTAAATTAAGCATTTCATGAACACTGAGCAGCCACACTTGCACTCTGTACCATGCACATTTCAGTATACTTTGCCTGCCATGTGATAACAACTGTGATGGCTGGGTGCCAGTTCCTTCTCCATCACTCAGAAAACCTCAGTTAATTAGAGAAGTTAATTTTTTTTCTATAATATTTGAATTTTTTCCTGTAAGTCACTTTCCAAGAGTTCACCTGTTATCAGGAGAACCAATTAATATACCAAAGAGAAACAATTTCCTATCAGCAAGTATCCAAAGTTCAAGTAAAGAAAAAAGCATGAGAAAAGAAATCATGAATAATTTAATAATGTAGAGAGTAAATCATAATAGTTAAAAGCTTGGACTTTTCAACCTGAGTTCACGTCCCAGTTCTACCACTTAACTATATGACCTTGGGTAAGTGTCATAAATGATTGCAGCTACCTCAAAGGATTGATTTGAGTATGAAATACAAAACAAGTAAAGCATTAAGCAAAGCTCCTGACACATATTAGCCATTTGATAGGTGTTAATTATAATTATTACTAATACCCTGCAACTACTTTACTCACAATTTAGGAATAATCATAACATTTTCTTGGAAGGATGTAAGAAATCCTCCAGCCTAGTGCTTCCCAACATTTTTCACACCATAATACATGTTGAAAATTTTAAATAATAATTCTGTATACCACCATCAGGAAAGAGAAGAGGCTGCTAGATGCAGAAGGCAACTCACTTTAGAAGGAAGTCAGTATCTGGCATAATGACCTGGACATACTGGCTGTGAAATGCTGAACTAATACATGGAACACCTGACTTCTATTTACAATATGCTTTGGTGGATAAAGATGAGGATTTCAAGACTTACTCAGGAATAATTTATTTTCTTTGCCAATCTTAATTGGTAGCCAAGATCAACAGCATCAATAATTGAACTAATTTGTAAATAATATTTTATTTTGTTGGTTCTTTCCTTCCTCACCTACACAAACACTTATGTTGTTTACATAAAACCACAACTGATGTTTAAGTATGCAAAAGAATGATAACATACAAAATCCTAGGACATCTTAAAAGAAGGAAATACTCATTAGAGGTTGGAAAATGACTCTCAAACCCTGATAAATACACAAAGGGAGTATGTTTTTCTTCAACAGTTACTATTCACTCAGATATGAAATATGAAGGTCCCTTCATCTGCAGTACAAGTTGAGACTGGTGCGATGGGCAGGAGACAGTTCACAAAGGGCTTGGCAGGCAAGGCTAAAGAATTTAGGCATCACACCAAAAGCAGTGGTATAAGACTTTTACAGTAAGGAAATAACGTGATCCAGTTAGACAATCAACTTGAGAGTTCTCTTTCATTTACCATTTTAAAAGCCACAAGAGAACATCGTCATCTCCATCATAAATATTAGAAAAAATTGATAATCTAAAAAGTATATTTTTTTAGTCTATCAGAAAGCTGAGGTTGCAAGGCAACCAAGTGAACTGAATTTCAAATGGTAACAAGTCCTTCTGAGGAAAGACAGAACAGGTGAACTGTATCACAACAGACAGGGCACAAAAGGAAGAGATGGCCATCATAAAAGGGAGTAAGAATAAAACAATTAGATCTTTAACCAATTCTTAAATTTTGGGTATGAGCTAACATGACAGTTTAGAATCTCTATAAGCCTGAGGGACAAGCAGAGACCATAACCATTCATCAGCTCTTTTCCATAGGCTTCTACTGGGTGCTCATTTAGAAAGCATGAGGGCAGGAGACCTAAAAGGACTCCCCCTCACCAGTACAGGCATGCAAGTGATGAATGATTGCTATGAAGAGACAGACACAAAACATGCCAGAATCATGGACATCTCTCTCATACGAAGGAAAAGCCACATCTGAATCTAGGAGAGAAGCACGAAACCTTCCCTGGCATAGTATCAGGGAAATATACTACTGCTAGAGAAAAGATGGAAATGAAAGCAATCTGTTGTAGGGGATGGAACAGGAAATCCACACATACTAAGGACCTACTGATACAAGGCAAAAGTTCAGTTGCCGTGGAAGGTGCAGTGAGAATATTGAGAAAAATCTCACCCTGAGGCTCAGGTGCATAAGAATCTGCCTAATGTTGAGACTGGAACAAGAGAACCAAGAAAGCACTCTGTTCCCACTAGGAATCTATCACTGAATATCAAACAAGAAATAGCAGTCTACCACTGGGGGAGAAGTAAGAGAACAGGGAGAGGCACCCTCTGTGACTCAGGAGTACAGGATGTGCTGGAAGTGGATGGTTGAACAAGAACACAAACAAAAACCCTCTGGCTCACCAAGCCCCACACAAAGGTCAAGGTAATGTCATTCTACCACTCAAGGTAATCAACTGGCACAAAGAAATCGACTGGCACAATGAAAGTATCAATAGTTACAATAGAACCCAAATACCTGACTAGATTGACTTAAGTCCCAATATTAGTTGCCTGACAAAAGAGGCTGAGTCCACTTCAGAACATGTATACTATTAACCTTAGTCTCCACCATTTTTTAACTTGTAATTCCCAAAATTCAATAAAAAATACAAGATGCACACAAACAATGAGCCATCATTGATCTATAAAGGAGTCAATAAAACCAGACCCAGAAATGTTCAAATTTTGGAATTATAAAAGAAGGACTTTAAAATAGCTATGATTAAGATGTTAAATGTGAAAGTATTTTGTGGAAAACGTAGTCAACATACAAGATTGAACAAGGAATGTTGGCAGAGATATAAATACTACAAAAAAAGAAAGAAAAAGGCAAAGTCAGAAATGGAAAACGTGGTATCAGAAAAGAAGACTATCAGCAGCCTGGATACAGCAAATAAAATAATCAGTAAACCTGAAGACAGATCAACCAAAATTATCCACAAATTGGGGGAAAATAAGTGTATTTTTAAAAAATAGATTATTCCAGAAGTGCAAAAATATCAGTATCAGTAATGTAATTAGAGTCTCAGAAGAAGAGAAAGACAATGAGGAAGAAAAAATATTTGAAGAGATAATGGTTAAGAATTATCCAAAGTTAATCAAAGTCAACAAACAATACATCCAAGAGAACTTCAAGGAAGGTAAGTACAATGAAGAAAAAAAATCTAGGCATAACAGTCAAATTGCTGAAAAGTAAAAACAAAAACTTGAAGGAAAAGGAAGTTTACATACAGAGGAACAACAAGAACAAAAAAGACAACGGATATATCAGAAACTATGCGATATTCATCAAAACCAAAAGGTGGAACAATCTAAATGCCCATCAGCTGATGAATAGACAGACAAAATGGAATGTTATTCAGCTATCAAAAGGAATGAAGTGCTGATACTATAATGCAGATGAACCTCCAAAACGCTATCTTGAGTTAAAGAAGCCAAAGACAAAAGGCCACATAGTGTATAATTCCATTTATATGAAATATTCAAAATATATCAATTTAGAGACAGCAAGGTTAGTTGTCAGAGGTGTGGGAGGAGGGAGAAATGTGGAGTGCCAGCTTAAGAGTTAATAGTTGTACAGCATTGTGAATTTACTAAATGGTACTGAATTGTACACTTTAAAATAGTATATTTTTACCACAAAAAAAGAAATGGATTAAGAAAAAAATACCCTGATTTTTTCACTTTCTTTTCTCACTCGTTTTGCATTTTCAATAATGTAAACAGTGCTTTTGTTGACTTCATTGTCAGCTCTGTGTCTCAGCCAATCCTCATATCCCTAGAAAGATAAAAATAGCTATTAATCAAGCTGAGATATTAAAGTTAAAGTTGTTAATAAATTTCTATACCTCCCATAAGTCAACAGCAGAAATTTATATTTACAGTATTAATTTTAACTCCAAATGCTAAAGAGACAACACTGTACATTTTATTTTTTATTTTTTAATTTTATTTATCAATATTTTTTATTATGATAGTGTGGGGTACAGTTAAGGGTTAGGTATACAAATACATTTCGTTCAGGCACCCTGTTGATAAGAGGTGTTTCCTCGTCCCCAGACAGATATTTGCTACCGTTAATCCCATCTCCCTCCCCCGCCACCATAGTTTCCCACTACTGTCAGTCATTTTCTTATAGTATTACACTGGATGTTCAAGGTCCATTATATGAAAGAGAACATGTGATACTCGGATCTCTGTTTCTGTGCGAGGTCACTCAGTATTATAGACTCTAGTTCCATCCAGGTTGCTGTGAAATTCATGATTTTGTT